GTGATTCGTGGTTTTAATGCTACTTTGTGTGACTTAAGGTCTCAATTAGGTCCATGTTATGTTTAGGGACTTGTTGGCATGTTTGGACGGGGTCCCGGGAGCCTTGGGTGTAATTCAGATTGATTTTGGATTTTTGTGGACTATGTTGCATTGCTGAAGAATTTCTGGTTTTGTTACTTCGGCATCTGCGGAGGGTTCGCCGCGGATGCGGGCTCGTGGTCGCAAAAATGAAGAAGGCTGGAAGTTGGGTTGTCCGCAGATGCAGAATTCTAGTCGAATCTGTGGAAGCGCAGAAGCGAGATGGCAGGCTGGGGGGCTAAGTACAGAAGCGAGATTTGCCTCACACCTGCGATAGCGCAAAAGCGGAAGGATGCCTTCAAGTACGAGAGGTCGGATTTTTTTAGTGGTATCTGTAGAAGCGGGATTTTTATCACAGAAGCGACTGTTGAATCGCATATGCGAAAGTGCTGGGTATTAATTTTATATTTCGAGAGTTGAGTTATTTTATCACATTTTGAGTTTGGGAGCTTAGATTTGGGCGATAATGGAAGGGATTATCACCATATGGATTGAGGTAAGGATTTTTAACTCGGATTTGATTATTATACGTGATTCCATCTTTAATTTTGGCATTTGATTGATGAATCTAAAAGGCGAAATTGGGGATTTTTGTCAAAATCTTTCTAAAGTGAATAATTGGATTTTGAACATCGATCTAGAGTCGTATTTGAATGAAACTAGTATGGTTGAACTTGTATTCAAATGGGTTGCCGGAATTTGTGAGTTTTGTAGGGTTCCGGGGTGCGGTCCCTAGTTGATATTTTGGTTGAATTTGAGTATTTGATTAAAGATTCGACCTTTATCGTTTGGGTTTGATTCCTATGGAATTTGTTGATGATGTGAGTTGCTTTTGACTAGTTTCGAGCCATTCGGTGGTCGACTCGTGCGGGGTGGCACTTATAGAGTATCAATTTGACTTGCTTGAGGTAAGTATCTTTCCTAAACTTGGTTGAGACACTAGTTGCTTGAGTTATTTGTGATAGCTACGTGCTTTGGGTAGTGCACATGTGTGGCATTGAGTCCATATGTGTGCACCGGGGTATTTTTTCCATGCTCGGGGTAGTATTTAGGCTATGATATGCCTTGGATTGATTGCTAGGATCATGATGTGTTGGTTCTTATATTTTGTACCCCCGTTGTGAGCTATTTGAGCCATGTTTGAGGTTACATAGTGGTTAATCTCTGATTTAACATGATAATTGCTACTTTCATGATGTATTTGCCTGATTTGAGCTATGATATCACACTTTGCACATGTGTAGACCCTAGCATGTTACTTACACCAGTCCAGGAGTATGAAATTTGATGTCCATTGACCATGTATATGTATTCTTGTATATATTCTTTCTATGTGATATGCATTGGATTGGTAGCCTATGACCACACCGGGCGGATTGCGATATTGAGCCTGTGACCACGCCATGTGGATTGTGATATTGAGCTTGTGACCACGCTAGGCGGATTATGATATTGGCACATGAGTTGTCCGTGTGGTTATATTATTAGCATGTGAGTTGTCTGTGCGGATCCAATATATTATTATTATTGGCACGTGGGTTGTCCGTACAACATGTGAGTTGTCAATGCGGTTGATGTTATTAGCACATGAGTTGTCCGTGCATCATGTGAGTTGTCCGTGCGGATCCTAGATATTGTTATTATTGGCACGTGAGTTGTCCGTGCAGCACGTGGATATGGATCCATCCCCTAGGGTGACCCTCTCAAGTTACTTCTTGATAGTATACATGCGGGTTATGAGAAACCAATGGGTTTCTGGTTGATGTGGTTTGAGGAAAACTGATCAGTGGTTTAATTCGATTATTGAGATGCTGATGTGGGCCTTATATCCGTATTGTGATTTTTATTTGGATCGGGTTACGCATCGCAACTGATTGATATTTAGTTATTGCATTTCATATTTACTTGAAATTTCCTTGGTTGTTTACCTGATTTATTTACATATCTTCCTTATGTGATGGATTTTTGATTGTGCAGAGTACGTTAAGAAATTTGTGTGCACCAAGGTGGTTCCTTATGTGATTCATGACTTCATTATATTACTACTCTGTATTTGTTGAAATTATGAACTGTATTGGTGATTAGCGAGTATCATTTATAATTCTTGCTTCCATTGTCTCGCCGAGGTTAGCTATGATACTTGCTGAGTACATGGGGTCGGTCAACTCATACTACACTATTGCACCTTGCGTGCAGATCTTGGAGATGAGATGCTGTGGATGACGAGAGCGAGCATTGAAGATGTACCTGCCTTCCGGATATAGCTACCACTTGTCCTCGGTAGTTTTAGATTTGTAATATGTTTATGTATATTCCAAACATATATTGTATTTATTTTCGTACCAGCTTTGTAAATCCAAGTCTTTGTGACTCATGACTTGTACTACCAATACTTGGGTTAGTGTATAGAAATTCAGTTATTTCACTTATTGAATCTTATTATTCTTATTTGAGTTGTGTTGACTGTTATTTGGCTTACCTAGCGGGTTGGGTTAGGTGACATCACAACTAGGTGAATTCTGGGTCGTGACACCTTTGCAAAGCATACAATGTTTGCTTAGGTCAGGTTTGGAGAGGGGTTTCCTTGGTGCGGAGGTTTCCTTAAAAGTTATTGCGGTCCTGACGCCTTTAACTTCGATATTGCACCGATAGTCCCAGTTCCATCCGCAACTCTGAAAGCTCCAACCCCTTCCTGAGACTGTTCCTCCACGAATGGTGGTAAGCTTTGTGTTACATAGAGGTTCTTAGGGGAGTGGATTTGTCGGGGCCGGAAAAGATGCCATCCTCAAATTTTGAGTGATATCGAGTTGTATTCTCTGGGTATGATCTTTTTATTACACTAACAGCCCGTTTGGCCAAGCTGCAAAAATCAGCTTATTTTGAGAAGTGCTTTTCTTAAAAGTACTTTTGGTGAGAAGCAATTTGTGTTTGGCTAATTAGTTTGAAAAGCACTTCTGAGCAGCAATTAGTGTTTGGCCAAGCTTTGAAAAACTGGTTCTAAGTGTATTTTTCTCAAAAGTGCTTCTCAAAAAAGTGCTTTTGGAGAGAAGCTACTTTTTCAGCTTCTCCAAAACTGCTTCTGCTTCTCCTCAAAAGCACTTTTTTTCCTTCCAAATGCTTGGCCAAACACTTCAATTTTTGGCCAAAAGTGCTTTTGGCCAAAAAAAGCACTTTTAGCCAAACAGGCTATAAGTCTTGCATTTTTCTTCGATTTCAATGTTCAAGTGATTTTTCCCTTTGTTCATGCAGGTCCACGTGATGTCTTTCTAGATTTCAGAGCGGATCAGTCGTTATGAGGGGGAGAATTTGGAGTTGAGGGGTCTTGTGGAGGCCGGCAAAGTCAAGGTTGAGAAAGAGCATTTCGATAGAACGGCTCATAATTCTGGACTTAAGAAGATGGAGGAGGAGCTGGAGTGAATGAAGTTTGAGCTTTCTTAGTCTACTGAGAGGGGTTTTTCAGCTTGAAGGAATAACCGGTGAAAAGCTGGCCCTCTTGGATCAAGTTATCGCGCAACGTGAGATCCTAGCGGCTCACCTTCATGATGTGGAGGAAAGAGGAAGGTCCCTCGAGGCACAATTTGGAGCTTCAAGGGATGAGGAGAAGAGGCTCAGGCGTGAAAAAGATACAGTTGTCTCTAACTTAAGGGACTTCGAAATTCATGCCGAGCTTACCCAGCATGCAATGTTTTTGGAATTCGACTCAAAACGCTCAGGTGGGTTCATGATAGCGATCTAAACCTGAAGAGATAAGAGAGGCCAAACAAACGTGGAGAGCTGCTCAGCTAAAACTGGACTTGGATGATATTGATAATTACTCCTCCGAGGATGACTTGGATCCTAGCATTCCACAGGGTAATGCGGGTGAAAGGGTTGCTGATATCCCTTCAACTTCTCAAGTCGGGTACTCCTCCAGTCTCTTCCGTTGCTCCCTTGGACCCTTCAACTGCTTCCTCTCCGGCAGATGCCAGGGCTGATATGCCGAACATTCTTTCTGGGTAGAACAAAAGACTTCATTCTCACTAGAACAAAATATACGTCCTTGGTGTAAGATTGCAAGGTTATACCAAAGAAGCTAACATCACCCAACATACATCGATTATCCTAGGTGTGATCCTAAAGAGTTGAGCGAAAAAGGATCAGTTTCACATTCAACCTACTAGGGTAGCTGGTGCTGTATACATTAGGAGAAACAAATAAAGTACGTACCTTTTGTAAACAACTACTGAAGGCGGAAACCTAAGACTTGGAACCTAATAAAGATATCCTGGACGAATCTATGGTTGTGAAAATGGAGGTGCAAATGATTGGCTAAGAGAAGCAAGAATGGTTTAGGTATCTACTAATATTCTTTTGTTTGGTGTTATAGTCCCTGTTAATCTCACTCAATTACTAAACAATCTTAGAAGAATAAATCTTCTGAAATTGGCTAATCTCAACACAGCCAAATGTGCGATACAAGTCATCTGCTGCAGTAGGATAACTATTTTTGTTTTCTTGTATGTAAATTAAGGTTTTAATTTTGTAACTGATTAAAGCTTAGATGAGTGTTTTTCCACGATTTTAGAAATTGTCCTGCTCGTAGGCCATAGGCTGTAGCTTTAGCCATCCACCAGTTACAACTCACAACATGAATCAACAGATTTGCTTGAGAATTTTAGAGCAACTCTAAGCATTGCCTCAAGAGTCGGGTCAATGTAGCTTTCTTTATTTCTTTCCTTATTCTTTTTCTCTTCCGGAGCCATAACTACAGCTACGACTGAAAGTGAAATACTTATCAGGCAAGTGCAGATGCATTACTCTCCGCTAAATGTGAGTTCTTATAATTTCCTGCTCATAATCTCGCAGGACTACCTTTAAAATTAGCCATCACAGCTCTAGCAAAATGATGTTAATGTCCTCCAAGGACATAGCAACGCGACACTGATGGAAATATCAAATTTTCCCTGTGACAAGTCTTCAAACATCTTAAAGATACTGACAAAGAATTTCGACAAGAAAGCTCTCATTTCAAAAAAAACTATATCCACGTACACATTAGTCACATTCGCTTTGCACAATTACAAAGATCTGAAGTAATACAAGAATGTCAGTTTTTCACATTAACTGCACCAGCGAGAACTCCATCATTGTTATAGGCCATATTTCAAGCGAAGTGCACCGAGAGTTGCAGTGTGCTCCTCGGCTCCCTTACAGAAAACCTCATCCCATATCTTGACAAGTTCTGTTTAACATGCAGAAATAAGTAAAACTAAATTGTAATACGCAACTTAAATTTAATGCACATGGTACTCTCATCTAGCCCAAGAAGATATAAAGAGGAATTCATGAAGATAAGTGAATTATGCAGGAAAATAATGTTCCATGATGATGTTCCGTAGCATGTGTCTCATACAGCTGCACTTAATTAATCTCTTCATTAAGTAGTGGAATGATGTGGATCATTATTATGCAAGGGCTTTATTGCTTACATCAGTACAAAGTAAAACATGTAATTACCCGAAATAAAAATGCAAACCATAAATACTCAAGAGATATACCAGCTTTATCAGTGGATGAAAGGCACATGATGATCATGTCGAACCTTGGGACCTTTGTAAGATTTTCCAGGTATCTAATTGCTAAATCCATATCTTCACTGGTGAATAGGAGAGCAAACATGTCAAGATTAACCATTTGCAAAGTGCAAACTCTACTTGAAGATTCCACCTAAATGTACCCCATACTTACATGGAAAATGTGGCAACGCATCTTACAATGTCCATGAGCATCGGAGCAGACAAGGCATTTTTAAATATTTTGGGTAACGTTGTAGGTGAAGTGACCTGAACAGAGAAAGCAGGTCTAGATTACTGAAACAGGTGAGAAATGGAAAAGTAGTCTGACTGTTTTAACACAGATTTGGCCAAAAAATACAAAGAATAAAAGAAGATGAAGACAGTAAGTTATACCTTCAATAAATGAGTTTGCAGATTACGGTCACCAGAAAGTCCTCGCCAAGAAACCTCAAACTGATACGCTGAATTTGGTGGTGCAATATTTTTTGCAGCTTCGGCCTTGGCAAGACTAGCTGCTCGAGCAGCAAGCTCTTGGACAGATTCCTTGAGTTCTTGCTTGCTATTTTTGTGAGGTCTCTGCAAAAAATAAGTGATAAGTGACACCAGGGTTATGTGCATGATAAGAATATTAGCATAACAACAAAGACAGAATAATAGTATGATATTGCATGTAAATGAAGTACAGATGTTCATCAAAATACTTTCAGATAGTCATAAATAAAATTCAGACACTTGGAGGTACTAACATTCAAAGTTATACCATATGTGAAACTTCAGTAAGGAATATGTATTCTTGAATTCTTACTTAAAACATAAAATACTCAAGGGCCTTTCAGAAAACATAAGCGAGATGAAACCTTAATATGATCTTAACGTTAGTTTGCAAAATAGTAGAACTACTCTTATATAGCCCCGCCAAATACTTTCGACAAATTCCCTATGACAAGTGTTTATAATTGTGCATACTTAGGTTGCTGAATATACATGGCATGTTCTGAATGTGGTAGATGTTTCTAGAGAAGAAAAGTGCATAAGCTAGCAAGTGGAGATATCTTTATGCATGGGAAAACAAACTGAACAAGCATCTGACTACAAATTAATCCTATGTTGGTGACCGTAATTGATAATGACTTGACTTATTCATTGTAAAAGAAAAGAAGAAATGATATTGGTTTAGTCTTTGACATCATGAAACCTGGATTATGAATACCACGGTGAAAAGGCTATGAGACATGACCACAAAGTTTTTGACAAATATCGCTATATATATACTCTTAATAAACCTTTGGACACATAACATTATGTATGCTTATATTATATGAACTAGAACCTTGCAATTATATTTTCGTGCCAGGGGGAAAGGGTTGGGGAAAGAAGAGGGGTGGGGGGGGGGGGGGTGTTCAAAATATTCAACAGAAATTGGATAAATCTCAAAACAGCCTCCCTATGTTCCACCCACAAAAAAGCACAGAAAGGAATAGTAGAAACAACTAAATCCAGGAGTAAAACCTTTGCAGGATTCAGGGTAGGAACGGTGGCAGAAGCATCTGAATCTTTGCTATTAATCTGCATATGAGTATCTTCAACTTCCATAGCAGTCCCAGAAACATCTCTATTACTTTCCTGGCACAGAATTTGAATCTCAAGGCATTGTGGATTGGTCAACACCAGTATTTGACTTAATTTTCACCACATCATAAAATATATTAGTGACCCAATAATCAATCTACTGTTGAGATTACATTATAGAAATAACCCACATATTGAGATGCAGAATACCATGTCACTTTCACATGCTTGCGCTCTTACTTATTCAGATAGGGCAAAAATACACTACAGGCCAGAAGATTCCAGGAATCATCAATAACACATGAACCTCATTTTTACAACTCAGCTGCTTCTGTTTGATTTAACATAATATTATATATTAACGCCATATCTTAATTCATTAAAAGGAACATGAGAGCAAAATGATATTCGTAAAATTTTTGGGTCTTTTGGGCCTTAGTAGAATGCTTCAAAGATGTTTTTTTTTTCATTTGTGGACAATTCCTATAGTTGCAACAATTTAGCTCATGAGGCTATGTCTTTAGCTCGGGAGGTTTGTTAGCCCTCAACGACAACTAGTTTACTATGCATTTTACATAGTCATGGTAGTGATGAATCTCAAAAAGTAATAGGCAAAATGAATAGTTCTAAAGATATGATTGAACAGTCTTATAATTGATATTCCATCTGTCCCAACTTAATTGTCCTGTTAGACTGTCCAAAAATGGTGTCTACTTTTAAAAAGAGAAAATTCTCCTACATGCTTCAATAACTTCTCAATGTTCTGCCATCAAGGATAGAGCCGCACAACCTTAAATTATATTAGAGAAAGTTCAAATTCTCCAGAGAGTAGACTTTATCCCCACCAAAGACCTACTTATTTTACTACAAAATTTGACATCTAACCCGAGTACCAGTATCTGAGATAGAAGATAAAAGATTGAAACAGAGGATTATTTTACATGTTAACAATCTATTAGTTAATCATACTTTTAGAACCTGATAATGAATCACTCTGAGAAAAACATTTCAGGTTATTGTTTATATTAGGAAAAATTGCACAAATTTTATAACCCAATCACAATTCTATCAAGGATAATTGGAAATATGCATGAACTCCAATCATCATATAAAAGTTTCTTATGATCCTCAGTCCTCTAAAACTTTCACGTCTCCCCACATCAGTTTAACTTTAGTATGCTAAGTGCTTGAGTATTATTTTCTCTTATTGAAAAGAGTGCTTGAATACCATTAAATAACTAGTAAAATCAATAATTTGTTAAGAAACTATTACAAGATGACAGTGAATTGGTTCATGCTTTTGCATTCAGATACTTCAATGCTATAATACTATCAAAATCCAACAATTCCCACTGATGCCCCAGGAATTGTTAATTATATGCATCTAATCGTTCAAAAAACTTAAAGAGTATTTTGTTTATCTAAATTCGTTCCTCCAAGCGTTAAAGTAATCACAGGTGTGAACATTACAGAGTCAAAATGGAAAAGAAAATTAAATGCAACAGTTTAGAATGACAACCTTGGCAGGAATTTTCCGAACTTCAGCCACCTTTTGAGAACTACCTACAGATTGGATCACGGGGCCAGTTTTATTTGTCTTTCCAGTTTTTTGAGGCCCTTGTGCAGAAACTCCTGTTACTCCTGATACTCTTTTAAGAATCTCCTACAAGGTTGATTAAATTGATTACTAAATAATCTGTGATCAATGCATAAAAGAAACAAACACAATGCCGAAAAAAATTATACAGCCTCTGAAAGGGAACAAGAGATCTAGCAAGAGATGATGCTCCATGCTAAAGTAACATGGTGCAATCAAGGAAAAATAAACAATAGATATTCAGTGCATGCAAACAGAACTTTATCAGTTAGCTTGCACTATTTCCTCCCACATTATATGTGCACAAACAGCGATGTTTCCCATTAACCAGATTACTATCCATGATAAGCCTACATGAAGCAGACATTTTGGCTGGTAAACTGGAATTATAATACTTCAACAGGTGAAGTGATTGCAAAAGGATGGTACAGCTGTGACTTCAATTTTACCACCAGTCCCTGCTCCTCATCTCATCAAGGGAAATATTGTGTAAGACCCTTCAAAGGACTAGGACCATCACACAGTCCTAGCAGACATGCACCAAAGTATCTCCAAGAAAGAAATCATTGTAGATTATTACAAATGCAAAAAAAATTAAGAAGAAAAAAAAAGAGATCGCATCTAGGCTAAGTAGAGTGATCACCTTCTCATACAGAGCCTTAACTTCTCCATACTGCTTCTTGATTTCTTGGTTCTGTGGTTCCAACCTCGAGGCAAATTCAGCATCTGTGCTGCTACCGTTGCATTAGACAAATATGGAAACCTGAATATGACAGTACCCCTTATGCTTAAATTTAGATTAAAGTATACCTTCAATTGATTCTTTCAATTTTCCAAGTTCTTTCCTAGCAGTTGAACGACGAGAATATGCTTTAATGTAGCGATCATCCAGATTCAAGGCCTCTGTGCAGTCGTTCTCTGCCTCTTGAAACCTAAATACAAGGAGATAAGACTGCTCCCCATTTTTCAAGTCTTAACTGTACTTTAACTAAAAGAACAATGAAGTACATTAAACTTGCCTTCTGATCTTAAGATAAGCCATTGCTCTATTGGCATAAGCTACTGCAGTTGGTGAAAGTGCAATGCTTCTAGAATAGCAATCAATAGCTTCCTTGAACTTTTTCTGCTTAAAGAACTCATTACCCTGGGAATAGATAAAAGGCAGAGCACCAGCTATAACGACCAAGCTTTCATTCCCCCAAAAAAAAGGAGAATTAATTTTAAGTATCAAATTATACCAGCTCTTTCTCTGAATTGGCGTCAATGTTACTCTCCTCCGAAAACATTTCGCTTGATAGATGGCTAGTTGGATTGTACTTTTTAGAATAATCATATGGACCAGCAGCACTTGAGATCGAGGTAGATTTTCCAACTCGTTGTGTCCCATTAACTTGAGGACCAGTAGGAAGTTCACTAGTATGGCTCCAGTCTTCTCTCTGTAAAGTAATTAGGAGAAAAGAGAAACGTATAGGATTGAGAAGTCAACATAGACAAAATCATTTACAAACAACCCACAGCACCACAGTTCTCATGGATGATGTACGTATGATGTAACCTCTTCAACAACCAAGGAAATCAAAGGCAGAGTGTGCAGAAACATATTTTGATCTTAGCCAAATGACTGAGAAAGGTATAAATGGCTGCAGACACTTGAATCAATGCGATGTCCACAATTATTCTAGTTATTGACAGAAAACCTAAAATATCTACTAAACAAAGTTAAACAATTTTAAAACAGCAGATATCAGAATCATAATCACAACCAAAAGGTGCGCCTCTAAAGCGGAATACAAATATCACTCAAAGATCCCCTAGAAGTGCCACACAAACAGATGAAAATTGACTCAGAACATAGGGGAATACAAAATGACATGTGGCACACACCAAAGAAAGTGAATCACCAATGCATAAGTCCAATTAATTAAAGCATCGTTTAAAAATACACGTTACCAGTACATATCAAGAGGTAGGTTTTGAAATAAGTGATTACCAACTTCTCTTTGCCACGAGCCTGCGATTTCATCTTTTTGTCTTTATCCTTCAATGATAGTTCCCAATCCTGTAAGTTATTCAAGAGCCCCTGCATGTCCTGGTCAGCCAAATAATGCCAGTAAAACCACAAACCAGAGAATATCAAGCAAATGAATCCCCAAAATTACATACAGGTCACTCACATGAAACATTTGAAAAAAAGTAAGAGACAAGTAAGTGTGCACGTGTGAGTGGAAGATAAAGAGTCAAATGCAGAGCAGACGATTAAAATCCCTTTTGAAACACACATCAACATTAGTTAACTCAGAGAGGTAGATGTCTAGATATTGAGATGCATGCAATATATCAAACTGAAAGGTTGGGGATGTGTGTCAACCAAAAAAACCCCTTAAGAGAAAGAGCAAAACTAAAATATGATTGTCAGCTAACCAGAGCATGTTTAATAAACTGTATTGCCAGTTAAAATCCTTTTTGCTAGCTTCAACTATGCTCACCCCCAGCAGAACAGACAAAGCAAGTACACATGATACATGAAACATGACTTGAGGTACTTCAGAATAGAGTAAAAACACAAATTCTTCTCACTGCTTCGTTTGCTGCATTTTCACAAGGAATTTCTCTTGGTTGGTAAATCAAGTCAATTCAAAAATACAACCTAAAATTGAGAAGGAAATAAAAAGGCTTCTAGATACATTTTTTTGATTCAGAATAACGAGTAAAACTTGAAATCACTCATTATATAACGTCACAGACAGGAAGAGAAATCTCACCGCGTATGAACTGTGAATGGTACTACTAAGGGTCACATAAAATTGTCATAATAAAGGTATTTGAATTAATGTGTTTGCTTCTGCCAGATTCTATTATAATTCGATCCTACCTGCACTATCCTTCACAGCATCACTGAGAACATTGACATGACATATTTTTGTGATAAATCGATACATGCATAAATATTTGACATGACATTTTTTTGTGATAAATCAATATATACATGAACAATATCAGGTGTCATATTTACAAGAGACATAGCTATTCTGCCTCAAGCCTAACCAAAAAGGAATCAGACCACACAAGCAAGAGTCTCATGCTTGCACACCAAATGCAAATTAGATCAAAGAGAACTCTTTACACAATCATACGACTCCCGTCTCCATCTCAGGTTAATTTGGTATGATGGAAAATCTTTTCAGAAAAAAACATATTTTCTGGTTTTTGGTTTCCACCAAAATGGAGAAAATGACTTCCCTCAATTTGGGGGAAGTCATTTTCCTTTCCAATTATCTCAACTATTAACTTAATCGCACTAATGTATGTTTAACCAACACTTAGACATTTTGATCAATCTTTAATACTAAACTTTTTTCTCAAAACACTATCCGGTTTGCTAATATTATTATTAACTTTTAATAAATGTTTTTTTTTTCAGAACACCTCCGATCAGCATTGAAAACGTTTTCCAGGAAAAATATTCTCCAGAAACTAAGTCATTTTCCAGAAAACGTTTTCAGAAAAAAACATCCATCATCATAAACACACCCCTAATTTTCTGTCCATTTCTTTCTCTCCATATACTCCAAAGGACACAATAAGGTGTAGTCTTCACAGCTTGAGGCATGGGCAAAACCACCTCTAAAATGCATAATGGCTCCACCACCCCCATCTCTTTCTTTATGCCCCACCCTCGACCACCAAAACACAAGATAAACTAACAAAGAAAAGCAACAATCATACCCTTATACAGAACCAACCCCAGTTTTCTATAGCAGATGTAAATGCTTCAGCCACCTTCCGTGCTTGCCTTAACTATTGCTACCACTAGAGTCTATTAGTCTTTTGCGGCCAATGACATCCTTCTATAGTTTTGTCTAAGAAATAATATTTCTTGGTGCATCTCTCTCCAAGCTTAGTTTAAGCGGCAAAGGTTGAGGGACTTGTGATAGGTCACAGGTTCGAGCTTTGCTCCATGGAAACTAAGCCTGGTATTTAAGTGGAGAAGAATAGAGAGTCGGTCCCATTATCCAAGTTTTGAATGCAGCGGTTGGTCCTAAGGACTAGCCCCAAACAGATTTCTCAGTCATAAAAAACAATCTTTCTTAGTGCATTTTTGTTTTTCTACCAAACAAATCCCAGAAATAAAACACTCTACTCGCCAATAAAAATAGAGTTGACAAACAATATTCATTCCCTGAGTTTTTTTAGTAGCACACACATAACTACTTCTAGTTTCAGCAAGAGTTCAGTAAAAAAATTTGCAGCCTTAAAATCCAAGACGAAACCATGTGGAACGAAGCTGCAACAATCAACAAAGATAGCGGTATGAAATAGTAGAAGGCATTTTCAGTTTACACATAAATAAATAATACTCTATAACGTAACAGAGAGAGAGAGAGAGAGAGAGAGAGAGTATACCTGAAATTGATCGCGAGAGTGCTTGCTTGGAACCCTCGCCATTAACGTCGAGCCTTGAGGATTCTCTAGATGCTTCCGGAGGGAGCTCTAAACTATTCTCCTGATTTTTTCTATATAAAGCTTGTTTCAGTTCAAAGAGTTGAAAGTGATAGAGACTCGAGAAGAATGGGGCACAAATCACAATGAGAGGAAAAAACTTAATTAATCCTTTAACTATGGGCATAGGAATATTTTTGTCCTTTATCTATACTAGTGAATATAAAATATTCTTTATATTTGTAAAAGTGAACAGCTTTAGTCTATTCTTACCAGAGTTGTTAATACTAACGGAAATTTTCTTTTACAATGATAAGTGGCAATGTGGAAGATGTAAACGGGAATTTGCTATTGAGAAGAGAGAATGGTACTTTTGATCTTCATAATTTCAAGAATGATATTTTGGCTAATGCTCAAAGAATTATTCTGAAATAAATTCTTCTTCTTCTTCCGGGGATTTTAGGAGGAACGGCGGATGAAGGAAATACCTGTAAGAGTGAATTTTTAATTATTTACTTTTTTAATCTCTTTTTTGTTTTATGTTTCTTTTCAACTAAAATTGTGAAAGATATAAAAAAAAATTAAAGGTTGAATCTTTAATCAACAAAATTTAGTTTGATATTTATGTAATCCAATTTTCCAAGAGATGCGAGCTATGATCTATGTGTTTTACTTACTTTTTTTGGGTTAGAGAAGGAAAGATGGAAACCTTCGTTAGAATCGTAAATTTGCTATGCATTTTGGTCTTTTACTTGTTATGAATTTTCTAAAAGGAGAGTTTTGGTAGCAGTAATTCTTCACAACGGACTGCAAAGAATAAATGGTCCTCTTCTCTTTAGTTTAGTTTAACTCTTGCCGATGATTTTAGGCCTTTCCCGTTAGTTTTAGTAGCACTGTTAAGAGATAAATCAAAACTGTCCACTTTTATAAAGATAAAGGATGTTATATATTCATTAGTATAGATGAAGGATAGAAATACTTCTATGCCCATACTTAAGGGACTATCTTAGTCTTTCCCTCGCACAATGATCCCTGAAGTCTTGAATAAAATAAAATATTTTGACCAAGTTTTGGTAATTAGGGGAAAATTAAAAAATTTGGGATTGAACTATAATTATTAAAAACTTATTAGTAGATATTAAAACTTCAACAATTATAAATGACCCAGTTCTTCATTTTTTTTTTTTGTCTTTTTTTTTAGTAAACCAAATACTTAATTAAATAATAATAATAATAGCGCAAACATATTTGTAGGGTTGTCCAAGTGGCCAACATTACTAGTTAGAGTGTCATTAATATTACAGCATAGTTTTCCTACTAAATGTGGTTCCTAAGATGTCTGACCATATTGCATCGTTAGCAAACACCGGAGTAACTACCAAAATTCATATCTTGTCAAAAAGCTTCATCTTTGCTCTCTCTTTAGCTCGAAGGTCGGCCACCTGGTTATGCTCCCTGGAGTTATGGCTGATTACTCGGTTCCCCAGTCGATCCATCAAAGACCTGTATTTAGAGATAATAGGATTGTAAGGCAAATGACCAGCATTTAATATCTTAATAACTTCCATTGAATCAGTGTTAATGGTCAGAGGAGTTAGGTTGTGTTCTACTGCTAATCTAAGGCCTTGGAATAAAGCGCTTAATTCTTCGAGGTTGTTAGTGATGTTAGGAAAGCCTTTCATGAAACCAATAACCTAGTCGTCCGAATAGTTCTTGATTACACTTCCCATATCCCATGTCCTTGGGTTCCCAAAGGAGGAAGAGTCAGTATTTAGTTTGTAATTACCTATGTCAGGGGGTTCCCACTTAACCTGGATGGTAGTCCTGTCACGACCCAATTTCCCCTCTGTTGGGTTTCGTGATGGCACCTAGTCTTAAGGAGTAGGTAAGCCTAATAATTACGGAATAACAACAATGAAAATAACATCTAAAATTCTTCTGAAATAAATTTCTTATACAATGAACATCTTCCCAAAACCCGGTAGTACAAGTCACAAGCCTTTCTAAGAGTAGTTATACAAAATAAATACATCACTACTCCGAAACAAAAGGAACAAATAAAAATAAGTACAAATGAAGGTGACTCCGAGGCCTGCGAACGCTGTAGCAGGTTTACCTTGAGTCTCCACCGCAACGATCCGCACAGCTACTATCGACCAAATACCTGGATCTGTACACAAAAATGTACAGAAGTGTAGTATGAGCACACCACAGCGATGCCCAGTAAGTATCAAGACTAACCTCGGTGGAGTAGTGACGAGGAACAGTCAAGGCACCTACTGATCAAATAAACTGAACAGGATACAACGATAAACTACCGAGATACGATAACAAGGTAATATTAGCAGCAGGGAGAAACTCAAACCACAAACAGTAGAAACAATAAAGGGAAACACGGATGGAAACGAAGATAACCAAGTAATTTAACACCAACATAGCTGGGACATAGACAAGTAAAATGTACTCAAATAAGAAAGACGATGTCAACTCAATAAATCACATCATTTCTGATGCACAATTCCAGCCATCTCAAATTCGATGTCTCATATCATAACCTCACTTACCAACCCTTGGCACACCCGGCACCTCGTACCCACATATTTCTATCTCACTTTGCGCAACGACGTTCTCATGTTACTCAGTACATAGGGTCCATAACCAATGCAACTAAGATGTTCAAAGAGTCTCATTTACATAACATAAGGTAGAGTACAGTTTCTAAACCAACTAGGAACTCAACAAGAAAAGATAAAGTTATTATTAGAAATCATTTGAATAAAGAAGGTACCATTTTCAATTAAAATACAACGTCGGATGATTTATTACCTTTAACATGGGATTTAATAAATTAACTTAGTAGAAATTCCTTTTTAAGTAAAATACAACCTCAAACGGTTTAAGAAAATTTAATTGAGAAACTAATTGAGTTAAAAATGTAACAGTTATTGAAATTTGAAGTATTGAAATATATATATAAAATACGGCGAGGTATTGTAAACATTATGGATTCCAACACAAAGGATCACAGCAGTAAAGGAATCTAAACAGTTAAAACACTGGAATTGATAACAACAAATATAACAGAGACAAATAATCACAGAAGGAGTACAACTCAACGCGGAGATAACAACCGGGGATCTCCCAGGATACCGTTCTATAGTCCCAATTATAAATATCCAGTGGATCTCCCGGGTGCCATCCCGTAGTCCAACTCATAGTGCGTGGGGATCTCCCAGAATACCAATCCGTAGTCCCAAATGTAAATACCCAGTACTAGGGGAATCTACCGGGTGCAATCCCGTAGTTCCCATATAAAAGTGCGGGGGGATCTCCCGAAATACCGATCCGTAGTCCCAAAGTAAACATGCAGGGGGATCTCCCGGGATACCGTCCCATAGTCCCAAAGTAAACATGCAGCAACAACACAAGGACTACTAAAAAACAATCCAACAACCCAATCACAAGGAATTCCACCACCAAGAGTATGAATACACGGCAACAAGAGAATCACGGAAAAACCAAGAAGTGCAATAACCTTAACAAAAAAACAAGGTATAACGGGCACATGATAACTACACCGGCAACCACAACAATTTGGACACATAGCATATATACACGGGGTCATAGAGGAATTCACAATTTAGAGATAACAACGATAAGAAGAACAATCGCTTCAACTAAGGCGAATAAGGCCAAGTAACGGTAAGAGTTAGAGGGAAGCTAACAACATCGTACGGAGCATATAGAGGTAAATTAAGCAATTAGGAAACTCAATCATAATGGGATACTTCCCACATAATGAACATAAGGACCTAAGAACCTTAAAGGCAAATTTCCCACAAATAAGTCCGAGCACACACTCGTCACCTCGCGTGCACGGACTACAAATAGCATAGAAGACTCAAATACTAAGTGGAAGTCCACCACACAATGTTGAGCAAGATACTTACCTCAATCCGGCCAATTCAATACTCGATTTAGCTTTTCCTTTACCAATTCATCAATGCTCGGCTCAATCTAGCAAAAAACGACATGAATACGTCTAACAATGCAAGAGAAAATAATTCCAATTAACAAAACTATGATTCTTAAACAATTTGTAAAAAGTCAACAAAAGTCAACTCCCCGGGCCCGCACCTCGGAACCCGACAAAATTTACAAAAATCAAATACCCATTCCGATACGAGTTCACTCATACAATAATTATCCAATTCCGATACCATTTGATCCTTCGAATCATCATTTTACATTTTTGAAAGATTTCACAATTTTTCCCAAATTCCATCCCAAATCACGAATCAAATGATGAATTCAATGATAGATTCATGTATTCTAGCTAAATCCGAGTTAGAATCACTTACCCCGATGAATTTCTTGAAAAACCTTCGAAAAATCACCAAGATCCGAGCTCTCTAGGTCAAAATATGAAATAAAACCCTAAACCTAATATTTATAGTGCACCTCCCAGATTTCAATCACTGCTCACCGCACAAAAACCACCGCTGACCAGGGTCCAGGTCCATCACCGCTGACCGCGGAGAATGTTGACTGCAGCAACATACTTTAGTATTTTGGCCATAACATTCCCTACAGATGTCCAAATTCTGATTTATCTACCTTTCTGGAAACTAGACACGAAGGGCTACAACTTTTGCTTTTGAATCATCTCAAAATTCCTTGTAGATCAAAAGATATAGGCTTCCGAAGTCAGACCAGTGCACCTGCGGAACATCTTGATGTGCGGCCGCACACCAAATTGTGCGGTCCGCACTGAGGTCCGCGAAATTTTAGTGCGGTCCACACTCCCCTCTGCGGTCCGCATATTTTTGGTGCGGTCCGCACTCCCAAAAGTGCCAGAACCATCTCAGAGTACCGAAATGCCCGGACTCGCTCAAAATTCACCATGAAACTCATCCGAGGCCCCCGGAACCTCAACCAAATGTACCAACACATCCCATAACATCATAAGAACTTAGCCCCACTTTCAAATCACTTCAAACATCGCTAACACCACGAATCAGATGCCCGAACACATGAAAATCACTATGAACTTCAAGAACCTCTAGAATTGCAACCAAGCGTCCGAACCATATCAACTCCTAACGACACCAAATTTTGCGGGTTAATCCCAAATGACAAAACAGAGCTATTCCAACTTTCGGAATC